GAACAGTACGCTTCCAGAGAAAATAAAATGTTCCAGATGGGGAACAATCAGATGTTGATCTAGGTCAGGGGTGGGCAAGAGAGACTCCGCGGGCCAGATCCACTGAGCAGTGTGCTTTAAAGACACGTTCTTTGGTGGCCCAGAGATGAACTAGATCAGGACTAGGTACTCATTTTTGAAAGCGGACCACTTCACAAATTTTTGAAGTGGCCCCAGGTCACCTTGGAAGGGGCGGAGCCTTGTAAGGAAGGGGCGGAGCCAGGACATTTCCCGACATGGGAATGGCCTGGGGGCAGCGTGTGAAGTCTCCTCCCGCCACCAAGGGCAACGCTGGCTGCGGTGCTGGCAGTTCTCTCTTGAGGTGGAGGTGGGGGAGGAGTGAGGCCAAAGACTTCACACGCTCAACAAGTCAGTAGCAGATCCAGGACTAGAAACTAGATCTCCTGCTCTAGCCACTAGACCACATTGCTTCCAAGAGACATACCTTGCAGGAGGAAACCGACTGACATCTCCTCTGGAGAATGTGTAACACTTGATGTTGGGGCTGATGGATGGAGAAAGCAATGCTGGTGTCTGTGTTTCTTCCACAGACAACTGCTCAGTGTGGCTTTCTTGGGGCGCTGCTTCCTCGGCTCGGACTTGTTCTACAGGCAAATCCTCTTGCACGCGCTGAACTGTTTTCTGAGATTCATAAACAAAATCCACAGCATTTAGCAGTTCCAGCTCTTGGCTGACTCTGTCGGCGTGAGAGAAGTTGTTGATGAGGGCGCCGTATTTCTGTTCCGAGAGGAGGCTGACGCGGATCGAGGGCCACAGGCTGCCAAACTGCACGCTGTAGTTCATGTCGAAGTTCTGCAGAGCCATCCGGATGGCTGAGATCTTGGGGGCAGTGGCAGCCTTTGGAGGAATTTAAAAATTAGGCACATCAAAGAACCAAACACTTTTATACAGTGACAAATGTTTCAGGCCTTCTGTCATTGGGAACGCTTAAGAGCATGGCTCTGCTTCGCCACAGTTACACTGGGCACTTCTGTGAGTGCCTGTCCCAGGGAGAAGTTAAAACTCTCCCTAGAAGAAGCGCTCGCAGAAGTGCCCTGTTTAGTGCGGTAAAGCAGAGCCATACTCTTGATTAGTCTCAAATACGGAAGTAGTGAAACTGTGTCCTAAACAACCTAGCCACAAAACAGCCCTGCTAGGAAGCAGCTGTTCTACCCATTGCACAGATGGAGAAAATAAGGTAAAGAAAGTCTGGATAACTTTTTCAACATCTTGTTCATTTTGTTCAACATCTTTACTAATGCTCTGGACGAGGGGCTGGGTTGCACCCTCAGCAAGACTGTGGATGACACTAAGCTGGGGGAGAGGTAGATACACTGGAGGGTCGGGATAGGGTCCAGAGTGACCTAGAAAAATTGGATTGGGCCCAAAGAAATCTGATGAGGTTCACTTGGGACGGAAGAATCCGAAGCACTGCTACAGGCTGGGGACTGACTGGCTAAGTAGCAATTCAGCTGCAAAGGACCTGGGGGTAACAGTGGATGAGAAGTTGGATAGGAGTCAACACTGTGCCCTTGAGGATACAGATTTTTGAGGGGGTTAACAGGGGTGAGGGGGAAGAGGTAAGGGGTGGGGAGAGAATTTTGGGTGGCTGGAATTAGCAGATGGGTGAAGGAATGATTAAGGAGGGTTTAGTGTGTAGGGGGGAATGATTTCAGGGGAGGATTAGGGGGGAGCAGAGGAGGAGACAAGTGGAAAGCAGACTGAATTTAGGGGTGTGCCAGGAGGATTTCAGGGGATTGACATGGGGTTTGTTGGGGGCGGGGGGCAGAAAATGATTTTGGAGAATTAGTGGAAGGAATAGTGGGGAGCAGAATGATTTTTGGAGACAGAGGGAGGTTAGCGGGGATGGGGGGGAAGGGAAACATTTCAGGGAGTTGGTGAGGCAGCCGTGAAGCTGGGTCAGGAGCAGGCTCTCGTATTGTGTCTGAGTTCCAGGCTGTGATGGAAAAATTTCAGTGGGTGAATAATGGGGGTTGCGGCAGCTTTTGGGGAGGTCAATGGGAGGAAGAGAAGGATTTGGGGGAGAAGATTGGTGGGGTGGGGAACAGTTTTGGGGGCGGTTGCTGGGG